TCTCTATTTTCTTCTTTGACTGACTGGAAATCAGTTGATTTTATGTATATTGTCCAATACCACCTTTATATTTCATTGATTTTTCTCTGTTGTTTTTCTGTTTTCAATTTTATTGATTTTGGCTTTGTATTCCTTCTTTCTGCTTGCTTCAGTTTTTTATATTTCTCTATTTTTTCTAATTTCTTGAGGTGGGAGCCTAGATTATTGATTTGAATCTTTTCTTCTTTAATAATATATATATTTAGCTGTCATAAAATTTCCTTTCAGTACTGATTTATCTGTGTTCCACAAATTCTGTTATATTGTATTGTCATTTTCATTCAATTTGGTGTAACTTTTTATTTGCCTTGAGAATTCCCTTTTGTACGTATTGCTTAGAAGTACATTGTTTTGTTTCTAAATGTTTAGAAATTTTTTTCTTTTTATTACCGATTTGTAGTTACAGTGCATTGTGATTGGAGAAAATATTCCATGTGGGATTTCATTTCTTTTAATCTTCTTAATTTTTTTCCCCCAGGATGTGATCTTTCTTGGTGTATGTCTTCTTGTTGTATGTCCTTGAGTGAATGCATATTCTGCTTTTGTTAGTATCAATTATTTTTCTACATAAATTAAGAATCATATGTTAGTATTATAATTTTTGCTTCAACCATCAAACCTAACTAAGAAAAATCAAGAGAAAAATGAAAGTCTATTGTATTTACCCATGAGTTTGCTTACTTTTTTTTTTTTTTTGGTGTAGTTTCATGGTTTTTTGTTTTATCATTTTCTTTCTGCTTAGAGAATTTTCTTTCACCATTTTTGGGGGTATTTCTGTTGGTGACACATTCTTGTCATTTTCCTTAATCTTAAAATATTTTGATTTCTCTTCGATTACTGAAATGTATTTTTGGTAAGTATAAGATTCTAGATTAACAGTGCTTTTCTTTCAGCATTTGACAAATGTGCCACTTCCTTCTGTCTTCTATATTTTTAATTAAAATTTTAAGGAATTTGTATTTTAAATATTTTTCAAAAATCTAGAATGTAAAATACACATAGTATTTACCATGAGTGACATTTAGTACATTCATAAGGTTTTCATAGGCATCACCATTATTATGTTCCAAAACATTTTCATTTCCACAGATACCACCACACCCATTAAGCGGTCACATTTTTTCATTTTCCTGCTCCTGACAACCATTTTTCTTTTTTCTGTCTCTATTGATTTGCCTATTCTGAATATTTAATGTAAATGAAATTATATAATAGATATCTTTTACATCTGGCTTCTTTCATAAATCATAGTGTTTTCTGAGTTCATTCATGTACATTCCATTTTATGGTAAAATAATATTACAATGCAAGGGTATACCATTCTGTTTTTGTTTTTTTTTTTTGAGATAGAGTCTTACTCTGTTGCCCCCTGCAGTGAAGTGGCACCATCTTGGCTCCTATCTTGGCCCCCTGAGTAGCAAGGATTACAGGTGCCCACCACCACGCCCGGCTAATTTTTGTATTTTTAGTAGAGACAGGATTTCACCATGCTGGCCAGGCTGGTCTCGAACTCCTGATCTCAGGTGATCCGCCTGTCTTGGCCTCCCAAAGTGCTGGGATTTTTGGCATAAGCCACTGGGTCCAGCTGGATATGCCATTCAATAATATGAATGTAATATCTACTTATTCATCAGTTGATGGACATTTGGGTTCTAAACAGCTTTTAGCTATTGTGACTGGTGCCGCTACCTTTTATGGTTTTGATGAAAAATTTGCTAATAATTCAAATATTTTTTTGATTTTAGGCAAGATGTTGTTTCTCTCTTGCTAATTTTTTCTTTGCTCATAGTATTCAAAAGTGACTATGTTGTAACTTCATGTGCATTTCCTTGGTTTCTTCCTGCTCGGGATTCATTCAGTTTCTTAAGTGTATAAGTTTATATCTTTTTCCAAATTTGGAAAGTTTTGTGTCATTTAAAAAATTTTACATTTCAAATTAGACTTTGTTTTTTAAAGAGTTTTAGGTTTCCAAAAATGTTTTGCATTAAGTACAGGATTTTCCTTTCCCCTAGCCCCCCTAGTTTTTCCTATTATTAAAAGCTTGCATTAGTGTGGGACATTTGTTATAATGGATGAACCAGCATTGATATACTATTAATATTATTCATCGTTCACATCAGGATTTATTTTTTGCATTGTACAGTCCTAAGGGTTTTATCAAATGCACGTCATGTAGCTATCATTACAGTACCATACAGAATAGTTTCACTGACCTAACAATGCCCTGTGTGCTACCTATTCATCCGTTTCCCACCTCCCCTAAGAACCTTGGCAACAACTGTGTTTTTTACTGTCTGTATGGTTTTGCTTTTTCTAGAATATCATACAGGTGGATTCATACAGTATATAGATTTTTAGATTGATTTATTTCACTTAGCAATATGCAGTTAAAAGTTTCCCCATGTTTTTGTGGCTTTATAGCTCATTTGTCTTTATTGCTGAATTGTATTTCATTGTATGGATGTACTGCAGTTTGTTTATCCATTCACCTGTTGAAAGACATCGTAGTTGCTTCCAAGCCTTGGCATTTATTTATTTATTTATTTATTTATTTGAGATGGAGTCTCGCTCTGTCACCAGGCTGGAGTGCAGTGGCGCGATCTCAGCTCACTGCAACCTCTGCCTCCCGGATTCAAGCAATTCTCCTGCCTCAGCCTCCCGAGCAGCTGGGACTACAGGCGGATGCCACCACGCCCAGCTAATTTTTGTATTTTTAGTAGAGACAGGGTTTCACCATGTTGGCCAGGATGGTCTTGATCTCTTGACTCCGTGATCTGCCCACCTCGGCCTCCCAAAGTGCTGGGATTACAGGCATGAGCCACTGTGCCTGGCCAAGTCTTGGCATTTGTGAATAAAACTCCTATAAGCTTTCATATGCAGGGTTTTTGTATGGGCATCAAATTTTTAAATCATTTGCATAAATACCTAAGAGTGTAATTGCTGGATCATATGGTAAGCCTGTGTTTAGTTTTGTATGAAACTGCCAGAGTGTCTTTGAAAGTGACTATACCATTTTGTATTCCTACCAGCAGTGAATGAGGTTGCTTCACATCCTCACTAGTATGCCATTATTTCTTCATATACTTTTTCAGTCCAACTCTCCCATTGGGCAGTTCTGATACCAGTAGAGAAGGCTGATGAAGGGAGTCCTATTAATGCTGGCTAGGGATGGAAGTCCAGAAAATGCAGGCAATCTCCACTGCCATTGTGTGGTGGTAGCTTGTTACTAGCTACTGGAGTAGAAGGTTCTGGCGTCCCTAAACAGCCAGTCACCTCTTACATTACCTCAGTGTGGGATTCATTGCTTCATTACTGCCTGATGAAGGTGAAAGTCTAGTATCTCCATTTTACCTTGCTCATGTGGGTGGCGATTAGGTCACAGATTTTTGGGGGGGGGGGGGGGGGCTGCTGTTTGACAAGCAGTATAGTGGTTATTGTTTAAAAATTTTCTGTCTTAATAGGATGACCTTTTTTTGGTTCTTTGGCTAGAGAGAGCAAGCTTTTGTTGGAGTTTCTTTCTGTCTATGCCTGTTGGTGTTGCCAGGTTTCCAGCTTCTTCAACTTCAAATAGCCTGCTACATATGGCAAAAAGATAAACTAAGTAATTCACCACTGTGTTATTTTGTGTCTCCCATATTCCCTAGTTGGTCTGCCTTCTTCTCTCCAACTTTTAGAATATTTTTATTTTGGTTATGTATATAATGTCTAGAGGTTTTAGGGATGAACTAGGTGTTTATTTGGAGGAATACTGAAAAATATGTTTCCTCATCTTGCAGAAGTGTATGCCGAGCATGTATATTTTAAAGTTTTTTTACTATCAATCCTTTTTTGAAAAACAGATAAACGATAGTCATCATTTAGCTATGGTTACATGCAGTTGTTTTTTAAAATCCTTTGTTAAGTCCCTGTATTCTCCCATATTAGGATTTTGTGTTAGTATATGGTTTTATTATGAGCCAACATAAAAATTCATTACTGTAGTCCAGTTGCTTACAGCCTTCATTGAGGTGATTATTGGTGGTAGTATAGGCCAGCTAAAGAGTCTAAAAAATATTTAGGCCATCTCTCTCTCTCTCTCTCTCTCTCTCTCTCTCTCTCTCTCTCTGTGTGTGTGTGTGTGTGTGTGTGTGTGTTGTTTTTTGTTTTTCTTTTTTTAGACAGGGTCTTGCTGTGTCACATAGGCTAGAGTACAGTGGTGCTATCACAGGTCACTGTAGCCTCAAACTCTTGGGCTCAAGTCATCCTCTCATCTCAGCCTCCCAAGTAGTCAGGACTACAGGTGTGCACCGTCACACCTGGCTAATTTTAAAATTTTTTTGTAGAGACAGGGTCTCGCTGTGTTGCCCAGGCTAGTCATGGACTACTGGCCTCTAGCAGTCCTCCCACCTCAGCCTCCCAAAGTACTGGGATTACAAACATGAATTGCCAAACCTGTAAGCCATTCATCTTTTGTTTGAAGAGCATTTTATGCATCAGGAGATGGGGTGGGACATTGATTGGAAAACCGACTTTTTGTTTGTTTGTTTTAATACACTGCTTATTCATGTTTGCTAGAGTCTGAGAATTGTTTTTCCAGCTCAGAGCTAGTAATCTGTAAGTTGTTGGTTAGATGATGATATTAGTTTTGGAGATACATGACAAGTTCTGTACATGATACTATATCTGGAGAGTGAGTTTATGGACCATCTCTAATCTATAACTTTTAAAATTAAGATTTAAAGTTTTATTTTTGCAGTGCTAAAGATCACAATTGTCTCCTGAGGATAGATTTTGATTGCATATGGCTGTGAAATTCCTATATAATATACTTTGTACAGCTCTGCATACTTAATATGCAAAGTGGTTGCTATAGCAGCAGATCTACTATGTTTCTGTGCTGAAATCTGATTGCTATTTTCATATATATGAAATGTTAATCACAATTTATTTTTTTCTAACAGGAAATATTTTGTGTTTTACAGGGGATCTTCCCTGCAAATTACATTCACTTGAAAAAGGCAATTGTCAGTAATAGGGGGTGAGTAATTGGCCTTACTAAATTTAGTTACAATTTTTATAGGCTACAGAGGAAGATTGTTTTTCTTTTTGGTTCATAGTATAAAATATAAAATTGATATGTTTTCCTGGCAAAAATGTACATGCTTTATCATGTAATTCTGAGGGCCTAATGTTTTCTTAAAATACAGATAACTTTAATCTATTTTCTTGTATACAGGAGAGGTGACTTTAGCTGTCAATTTTATAAAATCAATTAGGCATGCAGTATGTTTTAAAAAAAATATATACTATTTTCAGCATAGTCATTCATAGGATAGGAGTTAGAGATAAATATGTCATTTTGTTATTACAAAGTGAAAGAGGCTTTTAAAATCTTCTATTTGCAAGTAGAAATTGAAAAAGTTTAAAGATATACCTTAAGCATAAGAAGACAATATACAAAAGGCATATATAGTTTGATCACAAATTTCAAAAACAAATCAATCTGCATAAAAAAGAGACAGACAAAAAATATATCAAAATGTTAATACTTGTTGCATGTTGGGAATGTGCATGATTTTTCAAAAAATTCTTTGTCATATTCTGTATTTAAAAATAATAAGTATTTTAGTTTCAATTTTATTTTTTAAAATTTATTATCTTAAAACATAAAATTTCGGTACTCTATAATGTTTAACCAAGATAGCTCCCTAAAGTAGAAATACTGTTCTTGACTGGAGGGTGAGTAAGCATCAGAGTAACCTTCTGGTCAGTTAAGGAGTCATTCCGGAAAATAGAAACATGAGTCACTTTATGAGGTGGAATTTAATGTGGGAAAATATTTACACACATTTGAAGAGTGAAAGAACAAAAGAAGAAATACTGATGTAACCCATAGATTATAACTGCATAAAGCAGCGTACACTTTAATGGTGGGGATGCAAAAAATAATGAGTTGGGGATGCCAAAACCCAGGAGCTCGGGAATTAGATCTTGAGACACTGGAGCTCAGAAATTTGAGGAGGGAATGTCACTACTGTTGGTATGTAGAAAGAAGGTGGTAATGAGGCTGTTTTGGGGAATGACAAAAGCAACTGGAGGCTGTAACCAATTATTACTGTGAAAGAAACTGTTTACAGGAACAGCAGGAAACACACCTCTTTACCTTCTTTTCCCCAGTATTTTTCCAGTGCCCCTAGCTGGCAAAGGAGACTGCAAAATATAGTTTGTAGATTGCAGCCTCATGATCCGTACTTAGAAGAATAGATTTGGAAATGATAGTTATTATTATTAATTAATTGTTTTGTATGTCTCCCAGTATAACATTTGTGTTGGGGGAATAGTAAGAATATAACTTAGAAGATTTCTTTTGCAAAACAGGTAAAGCCATAAGGACATAAAAAAGAAAAACAACTTATACTTCTCATGTTTATGAACCTTGCAACAAATAATCTGTCATCTCAAGATTATATGTAAGGACTATCAAAAGCAGCAAGACTAGTTAGAAGTGTGGGAACAGGAAAAGAGTATTTAGACTTGGGATTAGTGAGGCATAGATTTTGGAAAGTGCTAAAATATTTTCTGAATGTGAATGGCTTATCGTAGAATGCAGAAATGATATCCTTGATTTATCAATAATGAGGCTGATCAGAGCTGAAAGTGGGCAGAAGCTGCCAGTAGTCAAGGTGAGAAAAGGAGGTGGAGATGATATCTAGAGATGCAGAAATAGAGTGCCTTAGAAAATACCAGCAAAATCATACACTTTCTCATGATAAGAAACTTATTCTAAGTTCATGAGTAGTATGTCCTATTTATAAGAGTTACAAAGGAAATTGGGGAACAGTTTGCTAGCAGAAGAATCCTTATCTGGATTCAGTTTTCCTCAGGAAAGTAGAGATGATGTGGCTGTACAAAAAATTACACAGAGCAGCCATATTTGCTGGAAGCAGGATATAAATCTTAGCCATTTGGAATTGACTTTCATATCCAAAAGTCCAATAAGTTGATGATCCAGAATAAGAATTCTAAAACCTGGAGAAAATATGAAAAAACAATTGTCTGCAGGCATTGGAGAACAATTGGTGTGGGCAAGATCTTGAGGGGTATGATCCTTAGAGGAAGAAATGCACACAAGGAGAGCTTCATGTTTACTTTGGCCTTTTTCTCCAGAGAATTTTTCATTTTACTGTGTTATGGTGAAATAGAGCCCAACCAGAAAGTAGTAGCCTTTCCTGACATCAGCAATTTGGAAGAGTAAGAAGTTTCAGCTCTCATGCCTTTACAGAAACACTGATTTAACAATGATATACCAAGAAAGATATCTTTATAAGAGGTCCAGAATCCAGTGAAGAAGTTGCAGTACTCCACAGGACCAAAAAACAGAAAATAGACACAGTGAAATGGCTAAGAGCAATTTCACTGTTACCTTTGTCAGTCCCTTCCCCCAGGTGGTTAAGAGAGAATTTGTCTCAGACTTTGAGTCTTCCAATGGGACAAAGAAAAAGTGGATGGTACATCAAACATCTCTAGCATTTGTGGGTGCTGCTTGAATGATCTCTTTCTATCCCACCTCACACAGTGTGCTGGAATAGCCAGAATAATTTAAACATGTGAGGAAAGCTAAGAACAAAGAAAAGGAGTAAGAGGCTCACTGTAGCTAGCTGGCCTCTGCAAGACTGGGAAAAGTGCACAACCCTAAGACTTCTGCAGGAAGGAGAGAGAAGAGTGGGAGCAGTATCCCATCACTTCGATGCATCACTCTAGAGAAAAGTGGAGGGCCGTTTGTGGCCAGTAGAGCTCTGCAAGGTTGGGAGAAGGTGCATATCTGTGAGTCTTCTCCCTCAGAGGGGAATGAGAAGAATGAAGCATGCATCTTGGCATTTTAGAGTACTGCGCTAGGGAAAAGAGGTGGGCAGCTTACTATGGCCAATCATTTCTTTGTGAGATTGGGAGAAGGCATACAATCCTGAGACTCTCGGGATGGTTGGAAGAACGAAGTGCATACATTTATAGGAAAGGTTTGAGAGGTTCCCAGAATCTGAGTTGGGCTGATTGGTGAGGTCTTTGGTTATTGAAGTCAGCCCATAAAGAATTGGAGAAGTGGTTGTTACTTCAAATGTGCAGGCCCCAAAGCAAAGCTGCAAGGAAGATGAAGAATCAGGAATATATGACACAACCAAAGGAACAAAATAAATATTCAATAACCGACCCTAAATAGAAGGAGTTCTATGAATTGCCTGCAAGACAACTCAAAATAATAGTCTTAACTCAGTGAGTTACAAAAGAACACAGACAACTAAATTAAATGAGGTAAATTAAAACTGAACATCATGAGAATACCAATAAAGAGATAGAAACCATAAGAAAGCAAAGAACCAAACAAATTCTGGAGCTGAAAAATAGAGTTAGTAATAAGAAAATTCTTTTTTTTTCCATTTATTTATTTTACTGCATTTTAGGTTTTGGGGTACATGTGAAGAACATGCAAGATTGTTGCATAGGTACACACGTGGCAGTGTGATTTGCTGCCTTCCTCCCCATCATCTACATCTGGCATCTCTCCCCTTGCTATCTCTCCCCAACTCCCCATCCCCCAGCGTCCCTCCCCTATTGCCCTCCAACTGACCCCAGTGTGTAGTGCTCCCCTCCCTGTGTCCATGTGTTCTCATTGTTCAATACCCGCCTATGAGTGAGAACATGCGGCGTTTGATCTTCTGCTCTTCTGTCAGTTTGCCGAGAATGATGGTTTCCAGGTTCATCCATGTCCCTACAAAGGACACAAACTCATCGTTTTTGATGGCTGCATAATATTCCATGGTGTATATGTGCCACATTTTCCCTGTCCAGTCTATCATCGATGGGCATTTGGGTTGGTTCCAGGTCTTTGCCATTGTAAACAGTGCTGCAGTGAACATTCGTGTGCAGGTGTCCTTATAGTAGAATGATTTGTAATCCTTTGGATATATACCCAGTAATGGGATTGCTGGGTCAAATGGAATTTCTATATCTAGGTCCTTGAGGAATCGCCACACTGTCTTCCACAATGGTTGAACTAATTTACACTCCCACCAACAGTGGAAAAGTGTTCCTATTTCTCCACATCCTCTCCAGCATCTGTTGTCTCTAGATTTTTTAATGATCGCCATTCTAACTGGCATGAGATGGTATCTCAATGTAGTTTTGATTTGCATTTCTCTGATGATCAGTGATGATGGGCATTTTTTCATATGTTTGTTGGCCTCATGTAAGTCTTCTTTTGTAAAGTATCTGTTCATTTCCTTTGCCCACTTTTGAATGGGTTTGTTTTTTTCTTGTAAATCTGTTTTAGTTCTTTGCAAACTCTGGATATCAGCCCTTTGTCAGATGGGTAGACTTCAAAATTTTTTTCCCATTCTGTTGGTTGCTGATTCACTCTAATGACTGTTTCTTTTGCCGTGCAGAAGCTGTGGAATTTGATTAGGTCCCATTTGTCTATTTTGGCTTTTGTTGTCAGTGCTTTTGGTGTTTTGGTCATGAAGTCCTTGCCTACGCCTATGTCCTGAATGGTTTTGCCTAGATTTTCTTCTAGGGTTTTTATGGTGTTAGGTCTTATGTTTAAGTCTTTAATCCATCTGGGGTTAATTTTAGTGTAAGGTGTCAGGAAGGGATCCAGTTTCTGCTTTCTGCACATGGCTAGCCAGTTTTCACAACACCATTTATTAAACAAGGAATCCTTTCCCCATTGCTTGTTTTTGTCTGGCTTGTCAAAGATCAGATGGTTGTAGATATATTGTGCTGCCTCCAAGACCTCTGTTCTGTTCCATTGGTCTATATCTCTGTTTTGGTACCAGTACCATGCTGTTTTGATTACTGTAGCCTTGTAGTATAGTTTGAAGTCTGGTAGTGTGATGCCTCCCGCTTTGTTGTTTTTGCTTAGAATTGACTTTGCTATGCGGGCTCTCTTTTGGTTCCATATGAAGTTTAAGGTGATTTTTTCCAGTTCTGTGAAGAAGGTCATTGGTAGTTTGATGGGGACAGCATTGAATCTGTAAATTACTTTGG